ACATGATGGTAAACATTTAGGCTGAGTTGTGTTCACTTTATGACATTGCAGCGACGACCTTAAGCAGTCAGCATGATAGTACTTCATCTGCAGTCTTCTATTGGTACCAAATGGGCTGTCGATAGATCTATTCTACTGCCCGTTGTCCTGCAGTTCTTCTCGCATGTCGCAGATCCGACGTTCACTCGTATCATTTGAACAGCCTTTGTCGTCACTGAGCGGGATGCATTGCTTCTCGGAGGTAAAAGAACGTACAGCCCATGCGTTCGGGTGCCGTTGTATAAATGACAGCTTGCTGAGGGGTCGTATTCCTGGTCTCCAGACAGAGAGCTACCACTTCTGCTTCGATGCGTTGAGTGCCTTGTAATCTCATCCTCGCGATGACGAGTTTGGTAGCTGAGGGGAGGTATTAAATTGGCAATAGTAATATGAAGAGACACAGATTTTAGGCTAAGACAGCTAAGCACTGTGCTCCACCACTAGCGCTGTCTTAGTATTGCGGCACAGTCTGCGGGCGGGCGGGCCTGTCCGCATGTTCTCCAGGGAACTTTCAATTTACATTCAAATCAAATTCCCACAGACAGTCGACGTTGTATTCATCGGTTATGCTCAAGCATAACATCCAGCGCAGAGGGGCAGGCGCACATCGTAATATCTTCGCAAGGAATGAAGGTATTCTGCCGGTGTTGGGGCTTCACCGTTGTTAGCTACCCGAATGGCCTCAGCCACACACATGCAAACGCCGCAGAACCCAGAAATATAGAGCATTGTCAGCTCGCTTCATGCGCGCTGTTCAAAGACTCGCACCAAGCGGTGCTTTCCCGTCCAGCTTAAAGTAACCTGGTTGCAGGTTCTGAAAAACTTGCATCGGGTCATACCTGTGCGATGTAGCCCTTAGTCTCGCCATGCTATCCTCTCCATACCCAGAAACAACAGGCTGTAATCTGCTGCTGTACGGCATGTAGTAGTACTCGTTATCGACACCCAGCTCCCTAGCCATACCCTTGGACGTCTCAATATAGGACTGGGCAGCCTTCATCATCGTTGTGTCGTCGCTAGAATCGTTCCACGCCATATACACCAAGACATGAAAGAACGGGCCATTCTCGGGATACAGCCCGAGGGCGTTACCACCTTTCTTTTGCATCGCTTGTAGCGCTGGCTTAGAGAACGCTTGGAATGCAATGTTCACGGAGACAGCAGGCAGACCAGGTGCCACCTCGAAGAATCTGTCGGTCATCTTTCGAATGAGCTCGGCGCTCATTTTGAATGACGCAGACCACATGGAGGTGCGAAAACCAGATGGCATATCGTCGCTTCGGTGTGGCGTTAGATCTTCGAGAGTACTGTTACTCGTCTTGTCTTGCATGAATGGAATGCTGAGATACTCCCTAGCGATTTCGGGAGGGTGCGAGAGGTCGACCGGGAGGAGGTATTCGAGTTCGGTAAATGCGAGCTGGTAAGTATCGTATGTTGTAAATGACACAACGTGTGCGAGCTTCGTATCTGCTTCGGCATTGTTGATGGCGTTCTCAAAAGCAGTGATCAATGCGGGAGTGGTGCTGGGGTCGTGGATACGCATGCCACCCCACATGGGCGGCTGTACGATAGTCTCGTAGTGGAAAGTTGTGACAATGCCGAAGTTGTTCCCGCCACCGCGTAGGGCCCAGTATAGATCGGGGTAGCGACTCGGAGACGCGTTGACAATAACGCCAGACGCGGTAACGACTTCGTAGGACGCGACATTGTCGCAGGCAAGACCGTATTCGTTTGTCAAATCGCTGATGCCTCCACCTAGAGTCAGACCACCAACACCGACGTGTGCGGCCTAGAAGATGTAAGCGCACTTCATGGAGAGTAGCTTGGCGTCCGAATCGAACGTACTCGGCCACCGGCTATCGTCAAGTTGTAGTGTGTGAGATACCGGTATGCATCTATCCACCGGTTACCTGGCCCAATAGCGACAGTCTTCTGGTCCGCAGACAGCTTGCGCACGGTGAAGTCTTTCAAGTCGACCGTAATACCTCCATGGATACTGGAAGCACCGGGAAACGCGGCATGCCCACCACTCTTTACCGCAAAGGGGCACTGGGTAAGGCGAGATATCAGTATCAAGGATGACACCTCAAGAGTGGCCTTGGGAGTAAAGGTGCAATACGGCACAACGGCGGCTTGTTGGTTCGACCAGTATTCGGCATTCTGTCCACGGGCAGTCTTTTCTTTACCGAAGACGACTTCGAGCGAGCCACACTGTCGTGGAAGTTAGCTTATGCTGCAGAGAAGCACAGCGCCAAAACTCACTGCGATGGAGCAGCCGCTTAAAGACGATCGGATGGCCAAGCCCGCCAATTCAGGCATTGCGGAAACATTGACCCCATTCTGGATCAGGGCTTCGGTTACATTGAAATCAGTTGCTTCGAACGTATCTTGGGCCGACGCCCCTACCATTACGGCAAGGGTGCCACACATAACCTTCTCAACAAATTTCATGGTGGGGAATGTTGTACAGGACTCCAAAATAGAATGAACGACGAGGCTACCTCGTGCTTTTACATTTGGCCGTTGACCACAGATGTATGTTCATGTACGAGTAAGTAGGCGAAGAAGTCCCTCGGATTAGTAGCCTGCATCTACCGACAGGAGGCTTCTGGCTCACACCTGCGTTCACCGTGGCTCTAGCTAGACTTTTGTTAGCAAAAGGACATAGCTTCCTTGGATTACACCCAATCGGAGTGCAAGCCTCACTCCGTCGTAAGGGTTGACAGGATGCGAACCGATGCCTAGACAGGCCGGATGAGGGGCTGCGTTCATATGGAGACAAGTGTGAGCTGCCGGCCCTGCATTAGCATACGCTATAGGGTGCATATATTCCGTTTGTAGGATTGCCTCCTCAGCGCTGGTATGGCAAGAGTGGTTGAGTAAATGTGGCTTCCAGGAGGAGATGGGGCACATTGCTGGACTTCAGAGCCGAATGACAAGTCGCTCGTGCGTAGCTGTGTCATCATGGTGATAACTCTCCTGCGCCCAGGAGCAACTGGTTAAGAGGATGAGGGCGAGCGAAGGATTCACATTGGAATGAGATATGTGGAGTGGGCGAGCGGACACGGAAGGTGGGAAAGGCGCGGCTCGTTGGTTTAGGACCGTGCCGCATTGCCAAGGTGGCACGGACACCGGTCATCCGGCTTGTCGGGCTCCGGGTGGTGCGATATTTCAGTTTGAGCATCGCAACGAGACTTGACGTCTATAGTCCACGAAAAACCACCCTGTTCAGAGAATTCACGCACCAATCAGATTATACCTGTTAAGGTCTAGAGCAATGTGACAGTGCGGCCGGATTCACTTCACCCGGCGGGTGGCCCCTTCCGCAGCTTCGGCATGTCACGCACCGACTCCCGCATTGCGAGTGTACTTCCGTGGATGTGCTGCTCTAAATCATTTCCAAATTTTCAAGCGCTTGAGTAGCGAAGCAAGCCCAACTTCTATGAGCGCGCAAAGAAACGACATTAGCGAAGTAAAGCATGTTCGTCGACAATCAAAGCATTGCGCATTATCCTGCAGTTTGCAGAGAAGGGAAAGGCCGCCAAAGGCACCAGGAGACATATACAAAGAGTCACGAATAGCAAGCATTGCAATTTGGCGCGCGCTGCATAGCGCGTGGCGCCTACGATGAACATGGGCGGAACGGAGCGTCTACCACGAGAACATGGCAGCGGCAGCACCAACAAAGGAACGCTCTTGACGATAACGCCATTTACCGGATCACTGGGGCGTCAACCACTCTTGCCGATGCAGGCATGTCTCAGACATCACAACAAGGAGCCTTTAGCCCATATGTAAAATGTCTCAGCCCTGTTGATCTCAGGCGTTGATCATCACATATAGACCGCGCCCCATCACTCGTCTGTCTTTTCATCTCTATTTAACTCGTTTTCACCAACTCGTTTCCTTTTTTTAGATGCTTCAGGTCTTTTTGCACATCTATCACGATGCCAGACGCTCCGCTACCCAACGGCAACAGCGAGGGCATCAAGAAATCCAGTAACTCGTTCTCGCAGACGACCGTACTTACGGTTGGCTACGTCGCCGTATCTGTTGTCTCGGTGGTCATGATAGCTCGGATAGTGCTCCTTGTGCTGCGGCCGAAGAGGTTTGTAGCGGAAGACTACTGCGTCTTTTTAGCATGCGCTTTCTTCGTTTCTCAATGCGCACTATACATTGCGATTGCACCGTTGTCAGACCGCGTCGTGGCAGTCCAAGAGGGAAGAGCGCCATATTATCCGGAACTGATCGATGAAGGTTTCTTGCTGGGAAGGCTGTACTTCCCCGCTCTTATCATCTTCTGGATAATACTTTGGCTGGTTAAGTTCAGCCTGCTGTTCCTGTATAGAAAGCTTCTGGTAGGAGTGCCAAGTGTCTACAACAAGATCTGGTGGTTCATTGTGGTCTTTTGTGCCATTGTAAGTCCCCGTACGGCTTCGGTCCTGCTGCGGTCCTGCTGCGGTCCTGCTGCTACCTGCGCTCACAGGGATCGATAGACTCAAGTAGGGAATTACGTCTGCTATATCCAATCCTGTGAGACTCTAAAAGGGTTCTTCAACGGTGGCTGCCACGACAGGGTGCGTCAATTCATGAGTGTCTGGTACTCTTTCGCTGCTGACACGCTGACCAACATCATGAGTACGTCCGAGCACACAATATATATATCATTCAGAGCTTCATCTGATCAACGTTGTTTATAGTCATTGCGTTTCCCATGCATCTGACGTGGAATCTTCAACTGCCACGAGGACAAAAGATTGGGTAGGTCATAAGCCGAGTTGACGTTCAATATACAGTGCTGATACCTTCGCAGTATGGGTCTCTGCCCCAAAATTTCAGAAAATATAGCGCAGCTTGAGCTATTCAATGCTTGATGTTGCCAATCATAATGTATAATACCTTGGAAGCTGACAGACGGGCTAGGCATCAATGCGCTTTTCGCTAGTGCTGTTCTCTGCATCATGATCGCTACACTCCGAGCCGCTCAGATTACCGCAAACACTATCAAGACAGATGCCGACACAGACGGAACATGGCTCGCAGTATGGGGCATGGCTGAGTGCGCCGTCGGTACGTCTGCTGTCCTTCATCCCACGACTTGGTTGAGCATGACTGGAAACTACCGATGGCAATGTCGCTAACCAGATCTACAGCCGTAGTCATCGGCCTAACCCCATCATTTGCTGTCCTGGTTCGCGCAGGCCGAAACGCGATAAGAAAACCTGATGCGGGTGAGCAAGACGTCCAACTCACTACCATCGGTGGCTCGGGTGGATCGGGTAACCGGAAGGAGAACCCATCAGAGACGTGGCTAGCGATGGATGATAGTAGGGAAGAGCTTGCGACAGCACATGACGCGGCGTCCGTGACTACGAGTGTACACCTTGAAGAAGGTAGCCTTGGCATCAGACGGTAGGCTATTAGGAGTGTCCGGCATGTACTCTGATCAACCAGTCTCAATTGACAGTAGGTTGATCTGAGAATGTCTTATGGTGTATATGCTATATCTCCAACATAAGATACATGGAGCCAGTAGTTAAAAGGTCGCGGCCTCAGCATACGTCTTACGTTCATGTACGAGTGAGTAGGCAAAAAGTCCGCATGCACTGATATTGGGCGAACGGCTCCAATGCGAGCTTCCAGTCGTGCATTAGTGCGCGTTGAAGGAGGTCTCTATCCTACTCATAGGATCGCTTCCCCGGCTCCGGTAGTTTGATAGCCGCTGGCTACGTCCGCAGCTCCCGACAGATGACGAAGGTACATTAGTGCCTCACGCGCGATGAACTTCTCGTACGCTTCCGAAGCATAATGACAATAGGACTCCTGTGGAGCGGCCACAAGGAACCATGCAAGTCGAACGAATGATTGATGTAGAGATGAGTTGGGTGGGGCGCGCGAGAAGACACTGCAGGTGCGACCTCGAGCGCGTCGGCTGAGGCCCGTGCCGCTTTGCCAAGGTGGCCCCGTCCTCGCGCGCACCATGGCAGTGTCCCACCCTCCAGGGCTCGATCAAAACACCCTTCTTTACGACTGGCGCCCGCAAGGTACTAGACTGTATAACAAGCATCCGTATCGACAGGGTAAGATGGCGAAGCACATATGGACGGTCACGGGGCGGGGCTTTGCGCGCGCGGCGGCACTATGCTAGAACTCCTTACCTTCGCGGGTGCATTCTTCCGCAGCGTCAGCATGTCACATTGTCACGTCTGGACTAACGATCTGCACTGCTATTGCACATACCGCTTTGGTAGCGGTCTCCAGATAGCTAACGGCAGAGCATCGAGAGAAATTTCTGCAACATTCCGGACCCCTCCAGAGTTGCCAACGGCCATTTCAAACATCTCTCTGGACATCAACGGCTCACAGCCCTAGCATCTTCCGTAACGATGCTACCTGTCGAGAAGCCAAACTACTTTTCACCAGAAATGACGAACACAATCCATCGTGGTGTAGCGTACACAACACAGCGCCTTTGATGAGCGCGGGCGGTACGGAGCGTCTGTCGACCAAGTTGGGCAGCAGCATCAACAAAGATTGCCTGGATTACTAATCATCTACTGGAACACCGGGCCATCGATTGGCCTCACTGCTGCAATCAGAACCAAAGCTTAACACCAAGAAGCCCGTGCCTAATGTGTGAAGCTACAGGATCGATCTAGCTTACGAGCGAAGTCTACAGCGTGGACGTCGCGTATGTGCGTCCTAGAAATTACTAACGCGTATTAAAATCCAGATCAACATTTCCCAATGAATACCTTCTCTTCGCAGGATGGCGCTACATAGCTCAGGCTCACGATGGCCAGCAGCCCAATCTTTCACCTGTTAGCCGAAGGTTCATGTCAAACAAGGCATACAACGTCGCTTAGCTATCTATATGCACTCTGCCGGGCGTAACAGGGACGCAACATGAATAACCACTCGTAAAGCTTTAATTCCCACAAGTTCGTCGCCGGATGCCGGTTTACCGTGCAAGAAGGTATGCGACGGCAATGTTCGAGGCTGGATAGGGAGAGTGATGTACATGAACAGCAGGGCTTACAGCGAGATAAGGCATGTAAGCAGGATGTGATGGAAAGTACTACTGGTACCGTACCACTCGTTCATCTTTCCGCTGAACGTGGGATGCACGAGCAGTATTGGTTCTGGCATGCGAGGGAATAGCAAGCTGTGTCCAGTCCCGGAGTGACAAGACATGCCAGCGTTCGCTGGGATGTGCTATAAGAGACGGACGAGGAAACTATGAAGGGCATACACACAGCAACTCACCCTCGATGAATTCCAAGCATCGACCTCTTTACCCTACTCGATTTGCGTACACCATGTCTGCCATGGAGGGGACGTCGTCAGACATGGGTGAGAGCACGGATGTCTCGACGCCCATCGACAATCATCCCACATCCAAATTCGCCGCAAGCCCATCAAGGGCCGCAAAAAAGATCCTTTACCATGCTTACACCTTGGTCCTCTTCACGTGCGACAACCTAAAAGACGTGGTCATTCCTCCCGCAGTTTTCGGCGTGCTCGCCACTCTCTCCGGCCCAGCTTTGGATCTACCATCCCAAGACGGTCTCGCGGTGTTGCGAAGAGTACCAACAACGTTGACATGGCTTTGGCTGATGCTGTTACCATGCTGCCTGCAAAACCAGCGTCATGAATCCTCAGTCCAAGAAGACGCAATCAACAAGCCCTGGCGTCCAATCCCAACAGGAAGGATTAACACAGCACAGACTACGAATCTGATGATTGCTGCATACCTGGCACTTGCACTTGTCAGTTACCAGTTCAACGTAGTGCCAATCTACGTCGCATGGGTTGTCTTCAACACCTTGTACCACGATATGGGCGGAAGCGACTACAGCGGCATCTCGCGCAATGCCATTTGTGCTCTTGGCCTCGTCTGCCCTTTCAGCGGCGCTCTAAGCATTGCCCTCGGTCCGGATACTACGATGAGCTACGCAGCATGGCAATGGATCTTTCTGGTCACACTTGGTATCATCGGCACAACGATTCATGCCCAAGACTTTCGCGACGAAGCCGGCGATCGAGCCCGTGGCCGGCGTACCATTCCGATTGAGTTGGGTAGGAGACGTGCGCTGTGGACTGTTGTGGTGGCCGTCGTTTTCTGGACATTTTGTGCACCGCTGGTCTTCTTGGGTGCTCGTTGGGAGGCGGCGGTAGTTTCGGTCTGTCTTGGTGGGCTTTTGGTGGGTACGGCTGTGCGAGCGGTCGCTATACAGGATGGAAGGTTGGATCGACAGATGTACAAGCTGTGGTGTTTTTGGATGTGCTCTTTTGGCGGACTACCGCTCTTGGCTACTGTTTTCCCTCTGCGAACATAGTCAGGGTCTTGCCGGGCGCCGATACGAGGCATCCTCTACTTCGCACGTGCAACACCACCACCGAATGCAATGCTCATCAGAGCGTCGGTCTCATCTCGAAGCTGTAATGACGGATCGTCTCTTCATGTTTGCGAAATGCAGTGAATATGAACATCTGCATCGCCTCCAAAGGGCAGGCAGCTGTATCGCGGCAATCTCCAAAGCGAGGCGGGGAAGGGCCGAGTGACCTAAAGCGGCAACGTTATGCGGCTCCGCACCTCCAATCCACAATACCATCAGTATTGCGTGCGGTCGCACCACATATTGGGGCGGTTCTTTCTTGATCGGTTGCGCAGTCCCGTGAGGGGGTGATAGTCTCGATGTGGAACGCAGGACCCGTATATAGTGTGCGCCTAGGTACCTGAGTATCTGCGACTTTGTCACCCTCCAGATAACCTCAAACAACCACCTCTTGTTCCAAGTAAATCATCGATAAATTAGTGTTCATAATGCCGTCCATCCATCCCGCCATCGACAACGGTATCAAGAAGGGCGACCCCAACTTCTCCGGCGGCAAGCTCTACTGCCATTGCCCCACCAAGAAGGTCGAAGTTACCCTCGCTGGTAATGTCGCGCACAACCACGCCTGCGGCTGCTCGAAATGCTGGAAGCCAAAAGGCGCGCTCTTCTCCGTCGTTGGAGTCATTCCAAAGGACAACGTCTCCGTAACTGCCAACGGCGACAAGCTGCACATCATCGACGAATCAGCGGCCATCCAGCGCAATGCCTGTAAGCAATGCGGCGTCCACCTCTTCGGTCGCATTGTCGTCGACCATCCATTCAAGGGCCTGGACTTCGTACACGTTGAACTCAGTGACAAGAAGGGATGGCAAGAGCCGCAGTTCGCCGCCTTCGTCAGCAGCATCATCGAGCAGGGTTTCAACCCGAAGGAGATGGACGCCGTGCGAGAGAAGTTCAGGAAGGAGGGTCTGCAGACATATGATGTGCTTAGCCCAGCGTTGATGGATCTCATCGCCACTTACACGGCGCAAAAGAGCGGGAAGCTGTCTTCGAAGTTGTAGGGTTGGGTTGCATGGTTCGGCGTTCCTGGTGTGGTTGGTGGGGATGATGTATTAGTACATGACGAGGAAGACTTAGAGCGAGGCTTGGTCTCATAGATGTTCAAGAAAATCGTGCACCTAAAGGACTGGCGAGTGCGGGATGTGTGGTGTTATATTGCATGCGACTGCCCAAGTGAGCACCGTGATCGCGCGCTAAACTTCTCTACAGCACGAGACACGCATTGCCGATTATGGTCATGATATCAGGTGAACACAGTTTCAATGATCGAGCTTTGAAATGGAAACGAGTTTATTAAATTATGGGTATCTACAACGGCGCACACTCCTGCTGCGTAAGCGCATTCGCATTAATAAACTCCACCTTATTCTCCCCGACCTCAATATCAAACGTAGAATCCAGCCCCCTCTCACTCAAAACCGTTGTCGCAGTGTAATACACATACTCGGCAGTCTCCTTGCCCGCGGGGCTCATCTCGACAATCGTTGGTGTAAGACGAGGAATAACAAGGCCCTGGACCTTGGTCTTCTTCGAGACGTTGAGCTGTGGTGTAGCACCGGTCTGGAGGAGGGCCTTGGAAACGGCGGCGGTGATGGTCATTTTCCATTCGCCTGTTGTGGTATCCTTGGCTGTGCATGATTGCGCTTCTTGGTAGAGGACGTCGGGGTTGATGGGGTAGCTGCCTGTGCCGCCATTGTCGAAGGTCTCGTCGTTGACGCGGATGGTGAAGGAGTCGAAGGCATCGGTGGCGTTGAGTGTCTGGGTGAATTCGAACCACTGGAACACTTCGTCTAGGTATCCAGAGGACGTTCCTAACTTGTAGGTAGCGCGGTTGGCGACGATCTCGGCGGGCGCGCTGCCATTGCGCGAGACTGGAATGAGAGAAGCTGTGAGCGTGTTGCCGTCGCGGCCGGTGACTGGTGTGGTTCGGACACGAAGACGTCCTGTTAACTCGACTGCTCCGTCCTTGAGTTGGTATGTTGTGATGTAAGGGCGGATGTCCGCTGGCTCCATGGGC